ATAATTAAAAGTAATAAAACTTTAAAAATAGTCTTTTAAGTATATTTTTTATTTAATTACTATATAATATATTAACTTTTATAGGAAATTTAACTTTATAAAAAGCACGTTATAATAAACTTATTAGTAATAACCTATTTTTTAAAATTAGGTTATTTATTACTAATTAATTAATTACTTAATTACCTTATATTATAAATATCTTTATCCTAATTTAAAAGTTTATTATATAATAGTACTAAATATTCTTTCCTTAATACTATATTAAACTAAATCTAAAGTTAAATTAAATTAAAATTAAAAATAACCTAATTTAAAAGCTTAAAAATAAAATTAAATTTATTATATTTAAGTTTAATACTTTACTAATTTAATAATATAAATAGTTTTATAGTATAATTACTATATTAATATTTAGAGGTTTTCCTTATTATATTAATTCTTATTTCCTAACTTAAATAATTATAAATTAGAAATTTAAAATATTAAAAGTAAGTTATATTTTAATATATATATTTAAATATATATATAAATATATATTTAAATATATATATATATAAATTACTAATAATATATAAAATAAACTAAAAATTTAACATTTACTCTATATTATTAATAAAATAAGCTATAAAAAGTTACTAAAAGTATTAACTATTATTTTATAATAATCCCTTAAAAGTATTATAATAATTTCTTAATATTATTATAAATTCTAACTAATATTTATACTTTAAATCTAAAATATTATTAAAAGTCTTTTAAATAAAAACTTAATTTTCAAATTATAATAAGTAAATTATACTATATATTTTTATATTTAAATTTTAATATATTATTTTAATAAATATTATATACCCTTAAAATTTTAAAAGTTATTACTCCACTAAAAGAAACATGCTAGTCTTATTAATATATAATTTAGGATACTTATTCTAACCCATTCTAGGCTTTAATAATTTTTTTTAAATCTTATACTAACCCTATTCCCCTACTAGTAAAAATTCTACTAATAATTTAAAAAAATCTTAAAGAAATTATTATATAAATAAACTTACTAAAATTAATAAATAATAAGTTTATTTTAATAACTAATATTTATAAATATTAAATAATTATTAATATTACTTAAATATATTATATATTTACCCTTTAATTAAAAGTAGCTAAAAATAATAAGTACAATTCTTAATAAACATTTATCTATCTTTTATTAATAAAGATTTAATTTAATTACTTATTTATAAACATTAATTAATTTATTAGCTAAATTACTTAAATCTTCTTATAATATAATAACTTTTAATAAAAAAGAATACACTATAATAAATAAATACTTAATTTATTATATAATAATATTAATATTTAAGGTTAAAATTAATCTATAATATAATATATTTAAAATATTTTTATTAAAAGGATTCTTTTATTATTTACTTTAATAAAGCTTAAATAATTATTTTCCTAAAATATATTCTTATTATATTAATATAAACTTTAAACATTTTATTAGAAATTATAATAAGGTTATTTTTATAATACTTAAACTAATAATTAAAAAAGTAAGTATTATATCTTTTAAATTTAATATTTATTAATTTATTAAATAATTTTAAATATTATATTAGTTTATATTTATACTAATTTAAATTTACCTTTAATATATTATTATCTATTAAATAGATTTTTAATATATTAGAAAAATAATTTAATTAAAAATATAATAATAGCATTTAATTAATAGTATAATAAATAAGGATAACTTTATTAAATTTATTATTAATTAAGACTATAAGTTTCTTATAAATAAATCTTATATTTTTTAATATTTTAATTTAAAAATATATTAAAATATTATATTTTAATACTAATTATATAAAAATAAAGTTTAAAATATATCTTTTAAACTTAAATATTAAGCATTAAAATTAATAAAAGTAAATTAAATATACTATTTAATTTTATAAAATATATTTTAAAAGATATTAAACATATCTTAAAACAAAATTATATAAATATATTTTATTTATTTATTTTATTTAATAAATATTAACTTTATAAAATAAATCCCTTTAATTATTATATAAAGTAATAATAGCTTTATTAAATACAAAGAGTTTATTACAATATTTAAAGATTTATTAACATATTCAAAATATATTATATATTTTAACTTAAATATATCTATAAATTATTATATTAATACTTTTAATAGATTTTACACAAACTTATACTACTAAACCTTACCTTTAATAAAGTCTTTTAAAATAAATAAAGCAAAAAAAGCATTCAATAATTTAATACAACTTTAATAAATATAATTCAAAAATTAAGCTAAATAATTAAAATAAAATATCCCCTTTATCTAACCCAGCTAAAATATAACACCAACATAGCTATCTAATTAACAATTATTATAAATTACTTTTAAAAGCTATTAAAAAATAAGTCTTTTTACCTAAAATATAAAGTCTTTTAAATAATAATATTAATACCTTAATACTTTTAGTTCTTATATATAAAATAAAAATAATTTTACTTCCTTTTAATTATAAAACATTTAATTTACAATTTACATCTTAATACTTAAATACTTCTAATTTTAAATATAAACACTAAATATAATAAATATATATATATTTTAATATTATATTTAAATATAATATATTTATATTAACTTTTATTAAAAGTAAAATATTAAAAATTAACCTTATTAAATTTTAAAATAAAAATAATATTTAAACTACTAATTAATACTATTATATTCCTTAAAATAAATAAATATATTACTAGCTTAAATATAAGTTAAGTTTAAAAGTCTTTAAAACATAATATATAATAACTTCAACTTTATAATTTTTTTATAAATAATACTAACCTTTAAATAAATCCTTTAAAGTAAAGAAATTAAAATTATTACCTTCTAATATTATTAATAAAAATAATAACTTTATTATAATATTAAAACCTTTTAATTTATTTATTTCTTCTTTACTTATTATAATTCCTCTTTACTAATAATAACTAGTTTTAACTTATCTTACCAATCCTTAAATATTCTATTAATAAAAAGCAAAAAAAGCTAGAAGTATAGCATTTAATTATAAAAATAAGTTATTAAATAAATTAAGTAAAAAGCTAAAGCTAAATAAAAAAAAAAAGAATTTAAAACTTAAAAGGTTATAAAAATAATATTAAAAAAAGTTATATTTACCATTTAATTTAAATAATAATTTTAATTAATAATAATATTTAAAGTATATTTTTAATAATTTATAATATCTTAATATATTTTACTTTTATTAATAAAATTTATAAACCCTTTTATTTTATTAATATATATATTTAAAAATAATATTTAATTTATTTATATTTTAAAACTTAAAATATAACTATATAAAATAAATATTAAATTTAAATATATTATATAAATAAGTAATTTATTAATAATAATATATTATTATATTAATATATTAATTAAAATATTTATTAAAGTTAATTATTTAATATATATTAAATAATAAAATTTATATATTTATTTATATAATATTAAATTAATATATTAAAATATAATATTTAAATATAATATAATAATAATTATTAATTTTAATATAAATTTTAAAAATATTAATATATTTATATTTTTAATATAAATAAATTAAATTAAATATATTTTACTTAATTAAAACCTTATTAATATAATTAATAAAATAATAGAGTTTATTCCTTTTAAATAAAACCTTAAGTTTAATTCTTTTAATAATTAATTTTTAAAAAAATAAATAAAAAAGGAATTATATTTCTTATTAAAATAGGCCCTAATTCTAAAAACCTAACTATTTATTCTTTTAAGCTTAAACTTATTAATATAAATATTTTTAATATTCTTTATAATATAAATAAAAATAAAAATAATATAAATATTTTAATAATATTATTTAAAAATTTTTATATTATTAATAAACTAATATTTAAAAGTTAATAAATATAAATAATAATAATATAGTCCTTTTTTAATATTAATTCTATAAATAATATTAAAATAATAAAAATATTAAAAAAGTTCTAATATAATACTTAAAGTTATAATTACCTCTTATAAAATAAAAGATAATAATATATATTTAATATATAAGTTAACTAAAAATAAAAAATTTAATTTAAAAATACTATAAAGTACCTAAAATAAAAAATTTAAACTATATAAAATATTAATATTAAAGTTAAAGTACTTTTATAATAAAAAAGAGCTATAAAAAATAGCTTTTAAAATTTAAACTAATAACTATTTTATTAAAAAGAAAAACTTAAAACTACTAAATATTAATAATACTCTTTTTTTATTTAAATATTAAAAAAAGTAATATAATATTTAAATATTAAAAAAAATAGTGCAACATTTAAATATTATATTTAAATATCGCGTAAGCTACAGGGATAAATGTTACTTGACCATACTACTCCATTCTTTCCCGCGGCGGGCAGAATGATTCAGTGCCCAGGTACCAACACGACCATCTGGGCCTAGCTCGGCCGAGGGCCCCCAACCACACGCCAGAAAACACATGAGCTGGCGCTCTCCAGGGACAGGGTGACATCCGCTGATGCTACGGAGCTGCCGACAGGGAGCTGTTCGGGAAGATCCACCTTGCCTAGCTCCAGATGCCCTCGGGGGGAAAGGATTTAAGAGGGTATGATCGGAGATATAGGCCGTTAAGCTTAAGTCGTCTCAAAACAAAAGACGAAACGACTGGGCGTATACTCCTTGGTGGATATCTCTCTGAGAAAGGAAATCCGGCGCTGGTAATTATCTTCCCCGCCGACCAGATTTGCCCATGATGCAACAAGACTCTTGCAACCCCTCTCTAGAATCTAGGATCATGGGGCCTGGCTGTGGGTAACGTCGTTTAGGACTTCCCTCTGAGGTCAACAACCAAGTAGTCCAAGGTGATCACGAACATCTTCCACGTTTTTTCGGCCAGCACCGGTCGATCTGTTCTCCCTCCCACGATCACTTTCAAGCTACCCAGCACCAAGCATGCAGACCGTAAGTCCCACCTCTCTGAGCCCGCCCAGAGTCGTGTTCTAATGTCGCGGATGTACAGGTCATTATCGTGGGCGCGGGCCCCTCTGGCCTCCTATTGGCCTTGTACCTATCACGAGCAGGCATCAATGTCCGAGTCCTTGAGGCTGCAATGGAGCCAGATCGGCAACCACGAGCAACGCATTACGGCCCGGCTGCCGTACATGAGCTGCGCCGGTCTGGCATACTGGAGGCAATGCAGGAGAAGGGCAGCTTCTCGCCCAAGAGTGTGTCATGGCGTGCAGCGGACGGGTCTCTGCTGGCTGCGCTACCCAAGCCTCCCGCCCCCACTGGTGATGCAGCACCGCCGGATGGTGTTGTTAGCCTTCCTCTGAACCTCGTTGTTGAGATCCTCATGGAGGCTGTCGGGGCTCAGCCCACCGCTCAGGTGGAGTTTGGCTGCCGCGTTGTGGACGTCGGACAAGATCCTGGCTCTGCGTGGGTTGACATCGTCAAGGACGGCGAAGGAGAGAAGACCTCTCGTATAGAGGGATCATACGTTGTTGGATGTGACGGTGCAAGCAGCTCAGTCCGCAATTCGCTGTTTGGCAAGTCGTTCCCTGGCTACACCTGGGACACATGGCTGGTCGCCGTCAATGTTCGTCTACACGACGTTGCCGCGTACCATGAGGCGTTTTCAGATGTCAACTTCCTCATCGACCCGACCAACTGGTGCATGGTAGCTAAGGTAGGTGGGCCGGGTAATCTTTTCCGGGTCACGTACGGCGAGCCTGGAGACATGACGAGAGAAGCATGTGCCGCCCCGGAGAGAACTCTGGAGCGACTACAGGCAATTTTGCCGGGCTACCTATCAGACCCATCCCAGTTCGAGGTGGTCACCTCGAGCCCCTACAGAGTCCACCAGCGCTGTGCACCCAGCTTTCGAGTGGGGCGTGTCTTGCTTGCCGCCGATGCTGCCCACTTGTGCAATCCCATGGGTGGCATGGGGCTCACGAACGGGATGGTCGATGTTGGCGGGCTAGCGGATTGTCTTGTCGGGATTCACCGTGGCCTCACAGATGAAGGGATACTTGACAAGTATGACTCCGTTAGAAGGGGAATTTTCCAGGATGTGGTCGATGGTATCACAACCGCCAATCTCAAGCGGATCATGCAAGACTCGAGTGAGGCCGTGGAAGGGGATCAGTTCCTCCGAGCCTGTCGCGAGGCCGCACAAAGCCCAGAAAAGACAGCAATGTTGGCTAATGTCATGAGAGTGAGTGAATCAGCTTATCATCCTATCAGTACTGGCAATTTAACTAATAATTCAATTTTGAGCAGGCTCCCACAAAGCTGAAGCATGACTTCACCCAATATTACGCTGCAGATTCACGACCTGATTCCCAAAACAAGGGATTAGACGTACAATCATCCATAGAAAATTCTGCCGTAGCTTCAGCTTGATGGCATATGCAATCAATGACATACATGTGCCATAGAGCAGCCTTAAAATTCCTCCTTAACTTTTACAACATCCCCAGAGTCTTCTACTGGCTGCGGTGGAACTCATACAGTGCTCCTCAAATGCAGTCTTCGATATCATGAATTCCAAGGCAGACTTAGTTGCTTCTGCCGGCTCATACATGCCGACGCATAATGGAGCACGGTCAATAAAATCTATGATCAATGAAGATCTTTGCCAAGGCGAAGATCCACGAGGTGATACACAAATGCTGAAGCCCTATCATCGGGATTTGGACACCTCGTCACCCCTGCGAGACCGCCGGCCTTTGGCCGTGTAACAGCCGTATAAGTCCGCAGGCTGGCTCCCTATTGGTCCCGGACTATTCAAAATTATAGTCGAATATTTCCAGATTTGCAAGAAAGAGCACAGGTGTCAGTAGATCTTAGCTTGAAACCCTGGTCTCAAGTACGGCACAATTTGTTCGTGATCGACATGTTTCAATGGGACCCCTGTCCTGTCCAGAGCCGCATGACTGACCAAGGGTCACCATGTCGTTTTGGCCCGCCCGTTGTTGACTTACACATGATCCTGGGCAACGTCGGCGCTCCTAAAAGCCCCGCCTGGGTGGATATGTGACAGCCTTACGGGCCTGCTGGAGGGGCTTCGGCCTCTCCTCATAGTCCTCCTCCCCTGCCTTGCGCCTCGTCGAGGTGGACGGTGCTCATTTGCCAAGTCGGTCATTCGGCAACAGGAAGCAAGTATTACGGCCCCCTCACACTCTACAATTCGCCCCTCGTGGTTTACACGTTGGCTCTCTGGACCTTGGTCTCCCCCTGAATCAGTGAATCAGGACTTTTCCCTTCCTTCTCGGATCGCTCGCCTTTGCTTTCCTTGTCTGCTATGAATTCTCAATGGCCGATGACCAGCCCGCCCGCGTATCGCACTGGCGGCTCGTCCGCGAGCCTGCGCTGGTGACCCGCGAGATAGTCACTCACGACTGGAAGGGTGAGGGAACGGCTGACGATCCATACCTAATCGACTTTATCCCTAATGACCCACGGAATCCTGTGAGTAATTTGAGTAACTACAGCCTCTTCATGATGCGAGGCAGTCGATCGCGGCTGTTCATCTGCACCACCAATATTCACGCACTATCCACTGGAGATATCATGATGCCGTAGCACTGACATACCCCCCCCCCCCCCCAGATAAACATCCCAACAGGCATGCGATGGCTCGTCGCAGCCCTCAACGCCTTCGCAACCCTGGCCATGACGTTCGCCTCCTCCGCGTACACGAGCAGCGTGGCCAACCTGCAGCAGGAGCTCGGCGTCAGCAACGAGACGGCCTTCCTGGGGACCTCGCTCTTCGTCCTGGGGTTCGCGCTGGGCCCGCTGGTGTGGGCGCCGCTGAGCGAGGCGTTTGGCCGGCGGCCCGTGTTCCTGGCGACGTACGGCGCCTTTGTCGCGTGCAACGTCGCCGCCGCGCTGCCGGACAACATCATCGTCATAGTCACGTTCCGCGGCGTCGCCGGCGCGCTGGGGTCCTCGGCGCTGGTCAACTCGGGGACCGTCGTCGCGGACATGTTCTCGCTTGCGGACCGCGGGCGGGTGAGCGCCGTGTTCTCCGGGGCGCCGTTCCTGGGCCCCGTGCTGGGCCCCATCGCCGGCGGGTTCCTGAGCCAGAGCTCCGGGTGGAAGGGGGTTGGTGTCCTCATCGCGGGCCTGACGGGGGCGCTGTGGATGCTGTACTACTTCCTCGTCCCCGAGACCTATGCCCCTGTGCTCCTGCGGCTGAGAGCCGTGCTGCTCACCAAGACGGACCCGCGGGGCAAGGTCTTCCAGTCGCGCATGGACAAGGCCAAGGGGGTCAAGTCCACAGCAGAGCTGCTCCGCACGTCCATGGTCCGGCCCTTCCTGCTCCTCTTCTCGGAGACCATCGTCAGCATCATGTCTCTCTACATGGCTATCATCTTCGGCGCCATGTACATGATGTTCGCCGAGTTCCCAATCGTCTTCCAGAAGGGGTTCGGCCTGTCACCTGGCTTCAGCGGCCTTGCCTTCCTCGGGATCGCGATCGGGATGATCTTTGCTCTCGTCTTTATTCTCTTCCAGAACAAGGCTTATATCAAGGTGGCAAAGGCATCGCCTGGTGGGAGGGCGCCGCCGGAGACCCGACTTGGACCAGCCCGTATCGGTGCAGTCATGGCACCCATTGGCCTGGCCATCTTCGCGGTGACCAACTCCCCAGAGTTCTCATTCTACATCCCCGTCGCGGCAACAGTGCCCTTCGGCTTCGGCATGGTGATCATATTCCTCAGCCTGCTCAATTACCTCGTCGACACGTACACCGTCTACGCCGGCTCCGCCATCGCCGCGGCAACAGCCATCCGCTCCATATTCGGGGCCGTGTTCCCCCTGTTCACGAGGATCATGTTCGAGAAGCTGGGCGTGCACGGCGGTGCTGCCGTGCCGGCGGCCCTGGCTGCCGTCTGCATCCCCTTTCCGTTCCTTTTCATCAGGTACGGCAAGCAGATACGAGAAAAGGCAAAGTTCGCCACGGAGGCGCGGGCCCTTGCGCTCAAGATGATGGGCCAGGCGAAGCCTGAAGAAAAGAAGCCGAGGCCGCTCTCCGACGGGCATGGCCCGACTGGCAACGAGGAGTGGCAGTGCTACGGGCGATACTGCCTTGGGTGCAGTGTTGACGAGGACAACCTGTTCACTTGTCGGAATGCAAGCTTGTATGAAGACAAGAAGAACGGCGGTTTGTATGATGAGAAAATGTCGGGGCAGTAGGAGGTCTAGTCTTGTACAACACTATGCTGTAATTTAGTCAATGTTTATACCATTTCTCCAATATGAAAATCGTATTAATGCATGTGGCGATCTTCCGAGGTTCGCTCCTATGAGTAGTCACAGTAATGACGTTGCCCGGTTTGGGGTGACGAGATAGAGGCTTGGAACCCAAGCCTTTTTTTTTAAAAAAAAAAAAAAAAACACGGCATCGAGAAAATCGGGTCGTGAATAATCGAATTAATCGTAAATTCAGAAGTTGTTCTTTGGTCTTTCTGGAAGTATGGTGCAAATGATTGGAAGGTACGAATGTGTCATGGTGGTTAGGGTCCCGGGTTGAAATTACCTAGGTAATTCATGTCTGGGCATGGAGTGCCTGCCTCGCCTGTGTGTGGTGACGAAATCGACATGCAACAAGAAATTGCGAGATCGGGACGTTGTGCCCAATAACCAGATTTTGAACAGCTGCTTGCCTGCTAGCGGCGTGAGCCAAGCAACAACCTGCCCAGGTACACATCACCAACCCGCACCGACCGCATCATGGCTGACTACACGCTGTACCTGGTGACGGACTCGACGCCGGCGATCCTCGGCGACAAGGACATCTGCGACGTGGTGGACCGGGCGATCCGGGGCGGGGTCACGATCGTGCAGTACCGCGACAAGACGAGCGACACGGGCGACCTGGTGGCGACGGCGAGGAGGCTGCACGCCGTCACGCAGAGGCACGGGGTCCCGCTGCTCATCAACGACCGGGTCGACGTCGCGCTCGCCGTGGGGTGCGAGGGCGTGCATCTGGGCCAGGATGATATGGGTCAGTGCTACATACCGAATACAACCTCACTGCTGTCAGGGATAGGCATTCGCTGGCTGGCTGACACGAGCACGCATACAGACATCACGACGGCGAGGAAGCTCCTCGGCAGCGGCAAGATCATCGGCATCACGGCCAACACGGCCGAGGAGGCCGTCACGGCGTGCGAGCAGGGCGCCGACTACCTGGGCATAGGGACGGTCTTCTCCACTCAGACGCACGTCGCCCCTCCCCCCTTTCTTTCTGTTTGACCCAAACCCCAGGCTGGACACTGACCCCCTCGCGCAGAAAGACAAACACCAAGAACGTGATCGGACCAGATGGTCTCCGTCAGACCCTCACCACCCTTCTGCTCCAGGGCCACCGCGGCGTGCCAACGGTGTGCATCGGGGGCATCAATGCGTCCAACATCCCACAGGTGATGTTCCGCGGTAGCCCATGCGAAAACCCCCTGGACGGCGTCGCGGTTGTCAGTGCCATCATGGCGGCCGAGGACCCTGAGGCGGCTTCAGCCCTGCTGCTGGGGCTGGTGCGGGATGCTGCGTCGCGCCACACCAAGTGGAGGACTGGGGGGGTGTGGTACGCAACAATTGAGGACATGCTCGAGGCGCTCGTTCCTGCAGCCATCAAGGCGGTTCATGACCAAAAGCCTCTGTCGCACAACATGACGAACTTGGTATGCGTTCTTTCCTGGGCTGGGCACGCAACTTGCTGTGCTGAAACAATATTGTATGTATCTAGGTGGTCCAGAACTTCGCGGCGAACGTGGCCCTCGCAATCGGGGCGTCGCCCATCATGGCCAACTACGGGGAAGAAGCCGCCGATCTCGCGAAGTTGGGTGGCGCGCTGGTCATCAACATGGGGACTGTGACGCCGGAAGGACTCGAGAACTACAAGAAGGCCCTCAGGGCGTACAATGCGGCGGGCCGGCCAGTGGTCTTCGACCCGGTTGGGTATGTTTGGCGCAACCATCCCAACCCCCTCTCCTCCCCTCTCCGAATCTCAGCCTTGCTCAAATTGACGACGAGACTACAGCGCAGGGGCAACAGCCGTCCGCAGGGCAGCAGTAAAGTCCATTCTCTCAGCCGGCTACATAGACGTGATCAAGGGCAACGAGAGCGAGATCAAGACAGTCTGGGCGAGCGGCAACAACAGCGCAGGCCACACAGAGAGCCAGCGTGGCGTGGACAGCAGCAGCACGCTGTCCGACCAGGACAAGGCCCATCTCGTACGGGCCTTAGCCGCGCGCGAGCAGGCCGTCGTGGTGATGACGGGCAAGACGGACGTCATCTCGGACGGCGTACGCGTGGTCGCCAACCAGAACGGGCACGAGTACCTGGGGATGGTCACCGGCACGGGGTGCACCCTCGGCACGACCATCTCGGCTTTTGTGGCTGCTTGTCCCCCTGGTGGCGACATGCTGGCGTATGTCGTGGCGGGCACCCTCCTGTTCGAGATCGCGGCTGAACAGGCGGCGGCCGAGCACAGCGTCCGGGGGCCTGGGACGTTTGTGCCTGCGTTCTTGGACGCGCTGTATCGCATCCGCACGGCTACTGTTGCTGGGGATCTCGGATGGCTGCTAGCTAAGAAAGCGGAGTTTGTCTAGTGAGCTAGCCCGAGTTTGAAGGTTTTCTCTGGGGTTGGTGGGCTCGTATGTTTGATGGGCTTCAAGTTGTTCCGGAACACCACACGTGTGTTTGGTGCAGATGCTTCATCACTGACACATCACTTGAGTGTTATTATCCAAGAGATAAACTTTTGTTGATTGCACAAACACTTTGCCTTCCCAGGACCATGCTTCTCCTTTTCCTGTTGCTCGTCGGGACTTCGAAGTCTTATTAGATGCTCAACAAGTGGACGGATCGTGTCACATGCTGCCAACCTCTATCAACCTCCACCTGAAAAGCTCCCGGCTCCCCGGTTCAGACCCCTGAGCCACCGCTGGGCCTCCCCGGTAGTTGGGGCTCCGATCGGCGGCCTGACGTCTTCGGTCAATGCTACCCCGCGGGGAAGCCCTCCTACTTTCTTCCTTTGCCCCGGCTATGACTGTCCCTGCGATCAATGCCAATGACAGCCCGGCTGCCGAGCACTCTCGCCTGCTCGCACACGACATTGTCGATTTCTCGCACATAGTTGAATAGGTCGTCAAACGTGTCTGTGATATGATCATTGCCTCTGCGCCGATCCGAAGTATCACGACATCCCAGCTGCCACTTGCCCTACGATCCGCGGCGCAACTCACGCGATCTGCCTTCCGACCGTTTTCCAAAATGGCTGCACCGCGGCGAGGGATGAGTATGCCAATTGGCCCCATTTTGACCATCACAACTGGCTAATACGCACCAAACGTCACAGACAATCCCGCCATCTTGTCAGTGTAGACCCAGACACGCCCGAGACCCCCACCGTGATACCGAACCCGCTGACGATAACAATCCCCCCCTCACAGTGTATGCGACATCCAAGAGAAGTTCCGCAACGCAATCCACGAGTTCGACAAGGTGTAAGTGCCCGTACCCACCCCCAAAGACACCCCCGGCATCCTCTAACACGGCCGCCGCAACCAGCGTCCTCACGGCCCAAAAGGTCCTCCGCGCAGCCCACGCCCTCAACATCCCAATCTACACGACGACCCAGAACCGCGCCCGGCTGGGCGAGACGGTCCCCGAGCTCCACAAATACCTCGACCCCGGCAGCCCGCTGTGCAGGGCGCACGCCGACAAGACGGCCTTCAGCATGTTCGTGCCCGAGGTGACGGGGGCGCTCGGCCCGGCGCCGGCGCAGGTCGTGCTCGTGGGCATCGAGTCGCACATCTGCATCACGCAGACGGCGCTGGACGCGCGGCGCGCCGGGCACGAGGTGTACGTCCTCGCCGACGGGGTCAGCAGCTGCAACAGGGAGGAGGTGCCCGTCGCGCTGGCGCGGCTGCGGGCCGAGGGGGTTGTCGTCACGACGAGCGAGAGCTGGCTGTACGAGTTTGTCGGGGACGCCGGGAGGCCCGAGTTCAAGGCTGTTATTGGGCTTGTCAAGGATACCTCGGCTGACACGAAGAGGGTGCTGCAGGCGCTTGCGCCTCTGCAGGGGGCTTCTAAGATTTAAGTCTGCCAGTGGTTTGGTTGGTTTACGACTCGCACGTTCTAGAGACGATACAGTGGGATAGAGGGCGAGGAATAGCCCTGTAGATGAATATGTAAATGGTTATTCTGTCTTGAATTTGTAGACGCCAGTGGCATTCTCGCAACTCACACCCCCCTTCCTCCAGATACTAGGTGGGTTGAATATGCCGCGATGACACACACAACTTACACCACCCCGGTCCTAGGCCGAGCCAACTCCGGCCATCGCTGCGGAAGCTCATTCTTCCCCTCACGTCACGGATGGAGCGCCGTGGGATTACCAACGTGACTATTGTAACAGCAGAAAACGACAGCCCAGTCATCCAGACAAACCGCATTCAACGACCGCAACTGACCATACCTTGCATACCTGGCAAAGGGGACAGACCCACACCAAAAGTCCATCAAGCCTCACCACAAGCAACCACATCTCACCAGCCAGCCAAGCATCGACACTTACCGCCGCAAGACAACCTTCGCCGAGGGCCAACAACCATGACGACCAACAACAACATGGCCACCAGCACAGAAGAGCCCCTCATAACAGGCCTGCACCACATAAACCTGACCGTGCCCCACGGCACCCTCCACCACGCGGCGGCCTTCTACGGCTCGACGCTCGGCCTGACGCCGCGCCCCGTGCCCGCGGCCCAGGCCCACGAGCTGGCCTGGTTCGACATCGGCGCCTCGGGCCAGCAGGTCCACGTCTCGCTGCCCAAGCACGAGAACGATTCCGTGGACGCGTCGCTGTCGCTGTCGCGCCACCCGTGCTTCCGCGTCGGGTCGCCCGCGGCGCTGCTGGCGCTGCAGGAGAGGGTGCACGCGCATTTCGTCCGGGGCGGCGGGGGCGCGCCTGCTGCGGCTGATGCGCCCGGGGTTAGTTCTGGTGCCAAGGGGCCTGAGTATCCGAGCAGGTTCTTTGCCAGGGATTTCGCGGGGAATAGGCTTGAGTTTACGGTCTAGGGGTGGTTGTTGGTGTGTGGATCGCGACTGGTGGGGGTTGGGATGGTGAGGGAGATTGTGTGTTTTTTGGTGGATGCTTGACATGATTGCTGCTTTTAGAGCTACAAGGGATAAGGCGAGGGGGAGGATTGAGTTCCGGCCAGGGGTCGCTGTGTTTTGGTTATGGTGAGGACTAATTTGTGAGTGTCAGGCGTGTGTTCAAATACTGCTCAAGAACTACGATATGTTTTACTTTGAAAGAAGATACACATTGTGCTGTTCTCTACACAGCCCCTTGCATTGGGCCCATGACGCCTGCTTCTGCTTCCAATGAAGACATTCCAGTTTCCACACCTCCTAGGCAGTCTGCGTGGATATGCAGGCTTTTCAAACTCGTCTAGGATATGAGCAACCTTGACCACAATAATGTCGTGAGATTATTGACCAACTCTCAACTGACAAGATGTCGAAATGAGAAATCACCCCCTTCCTGTGCCCCTCGAATGGCGCGGCAGGGTACGAATGCTACGACACCATGTTGCCTTCAGAACTTGGCCTCCACCTTTCCCATCTGCTTGCCCCCGATTTCAAGGGAGAAGGTCATCAAGGCAGACTCGAGTGAGACGATGAGCTTGTAATTGACCCGATAACTGGGACGGGTTAGATTGCTGGAGGTACAGGTGCTCGCGCCGATTGTGCGCTTGGTAGGGGAGATGTGATCGGCCCTGAAGATACAGGTCGACCGTAAAAGTTTGCCGGCAAGGTTTGTGGGCAACTCACTAAGGCTTCCAGTTCAAGTCATGATTTATTTGAAAATGGTGGCTCGGTACTCCACGCAGGTCAGATGTAAGGCGGCAATTCACGTCAAGCTTAGGGCCCTTTGATGGGTGCAACGGGGCGTCCCTAGGAGCGTCATACGTGATTAGTACATGAAATGCATGCTAAGCACATGCACGAGAGAACCAGGACGACTCTGGGTACTGAAGGTACTCACTGTGTGTCGCACTGATAAAGCTCGTCCACGAAGATGAGGTCAGCCGATGAATAGTCCCCGTCAATATCGCGGAAGAAAGGGAATTCGATCTTCTGATCACGCCCGATGTCGTCCCCAATCTTGATGTACCACCTCATCTAAGCCAGGTTAATAATTGTTCTCATGGAAGAACCATGATGGGCTTACCCTCTCGCTCCTTTTCGTTCCGTCACGCCAGGGGTTACTGATAGGAACGCCGACGTCGACAAGTGGGTCGTGGACTGCCCAATAAGCCACGCCGTAATGCTTGGTCGAGCACGTCGACTTGACCGTGGCCTGCCGGGGGAGTTTGCTGAGTGCAGCGCCCCTACAAATTTCTGTTATCAGGAATATTTCTTGTGCCAGCAGTTGCCCAAGGATATCGTACTTCACTATTGCCGCCCAAGCCTCGTTGGGCTGCAGAATCTGTATGTGCGGGTGCGCCTTTGCAACGCAGTCTTTGAGGTACTGGCTACTACCGAAACCTCCGACCAAGAACACACCCTAAAAGACCAATCTTCAGTTTATTGTAACCATGGAGGAGTTTTGCTGGCTTACTGTGACACGGCGCGTGTGATTCTGCCGCTTTCTGTACGCTGATTTGATTTGGTCGTTAATCAGGGCCAAAATGTCATCGACTAGGGGAGCAAAGATATTCTTCAGGTCTTCCCCAGTCATCCTCCAGCAGTTGGACTGCAGTCCATGATCTGGCTTATCTTCCAGATTAGCCATTGGAAAGTTGAGGAAGTACTCTTCCTCCGAATCGCCATGGAAGGAGCGCTTGACTTCACGCTCAAACTGTTTCTCGGCCAGCAAGAATCCCCGTGTCTTCTTCAGTCCATCCCACTGTTTATCACCGACCAGTTTCTTGACGGCTTCAACGAAGCGTTGGTTGAGGCCCAGAGAGCCGGCCATGTTACCAGTTCCCGGCACTAGCTCCTTGACTTGGAACTCCGGGTCGAGGCCAACGACTTCATATGATATAAGGTCGACTGTTCCGCCCCCCGCATCACATACGACGAAAGCATCTCCGATCTTGAGGGAAAAGCCCAGCGAGTGCATGGTGTAGAGTGCTGCAGCCTCAGGCTCCTTTATGAGCGTGACCGGAAACATGCCGGCACTCTCAGCGGCCTTGATCGTGGCAGACTTCGCGGCATCGGACAACACAGCCGGCACCGACAGGACGAATTCCTTCTTGCAGCGTTCAAAGTACTGGATAGGGACAGCTTTTGAGATTTCGGACAACGCATGCTTGTAAAGTGCGCTGATAAAGTCGGCAGCGACGGATACCGGCTCTTTTGGCAACTTGTCAAGGGTCTCCTTCATGTTGACTGTGGGCAAGTACTGAGGGCGCTCCTGAGACGGGTCGAGGAGCAGCTTGACGCCGACGATATTGTCCTGGAATCGATCTACTTCGGCACCCCATTTGAAGTGCGTCTTGTCTGCGGATGGGTAGTTGATGAGGGTTGGAACCTTTGGTACAGACTCGCCTTGAGCTCCTAACAAAGCAATGCAGGTAGTTAGTCAAAGCGTTTTCAGCATTCGCTGAGTCCAAAATCTTACCTGGCCATTGCTGAATTGTAGCAACTTTGGCTCCCTTCTGACCCGCAAAACAATACGCAATGCCAGAAAAGGTGGTTCCGAAATCGAGAGCTATGATTAACTTCTCGTTCGTTCCAGACGGACTCGAACCCCAGCCAAAAACACTCATCATGTTGCAATTATCGGCTGAGCCTGATTGATCGACGGTCTTACTGTCTGCAATGCTGGAAGCAAATGAGCTGAGAAGTCGAGTTGCCCAAATTTCAGAGATGGATGTTTCAAATCAAGCTAGGGATACATGTACGTTATAGAAATATATTACTTTTCATATTCCAGCTAAAATCAATGGATAGCCTGTCAACAATCAATACGAGTGGTTTCATTTCCATCTCCACACACAGAAAGTGTTTGTAGCGGTGTCGTGCAGTGGCAACCCTGGAAACTCATGAAAGACATTAATTGAAGATGACATGGTGACCACTGTTCGCCTACAGCACGGTGAGGCTTCCGGGGCTGAGACAGCTTGAGGCCTGAATAGAATTCAGCCTATGCTAGGACGGTCGTCAACACCGCAGACAAAAGCGCAGCGCGGTTTGACGGAGAGTCGACAGTAGTGCAACAAAGCATACCTGCCCAGGATGGGTATACGGAATAAGAACGAAACCAGAACAAAGACATCAACTCAGACGAAACCGTAGCCGATCATGCAGCCACCCATGTGAATGAAACAATGCAGTAGCAAGTACTACATTAGTCTGCAATGTCTCAAAGTCAATCGAAGGTGGCGTTATGGCCAAAGGGGTCTTGCGAAAGAAAGGTAATTGCTGGACACGTGGTTCCATTTTGCATTGGAACCTCAGGCTGTTGTGAAAGATTTGTCTTGCATCAATCTTCCTGACGCCGATGTTGTTTTTCGCCTGGTAGAGGCTGAAGTTTCAACCACGTGGTTCCTTTTTTGAACTTCATCCTTAAAGATATTGTATTGAATTAATGCATTGCATCTTCCAGCAGCGGGCGGCCGCGAGAAACTTCGACTTGATGTCACTTAAATACGTCAATCTCCCAAAATCCCTTGGATATTGAATTTACGGAAAGAGCCGAAGGCCCTCGAACCCTGTTGGCTCTTCTTCCCCGTTAATATCACACACCAGCATCGAACTAGTCTCACGTCCCTCCCCTCACGAGGGCGTCCGGATTTCTACTTTGACACTTGAGCCTGCGATGGATAATATGCATTCCGGCCAAGAGCCGACGTACGACTCAGCTACTGGGGATGACATCCACGCTTACCAAGTGTCGCAGGGCTCGAACATAGAGGGAAAACGGTCCGATATGACCAGCGCTCAATGGCAATCATGGAGGATAGCCAAGATGCAGTCAAACACACGGAAAAACGTTTCCGTGATTGCCAAGCTCGCACCGAATGTCAGTTTTTGGATATATGGCAAGTATAATCTATAACTAGTTCACTGAAAAATGTCACAGTTTGTCAGATTCTTGTGTGGAAACAAAACCAACTGTGATGATTGTCATAGAGAGAACCTTTTGCTGCTCGAGGAAATCCGGCGTATGGTACAAGAGCGCGACAATCTAGTTTCGACCTTCAGAGATCTTCAGGAGGAATTGATTGAGAAGCAGACGGAAGTCGTTGAAAATCAAGCCATGGCTTCACGGTTCAAAAAGCAAGCTGACGAGTTCCGTGAGACTTTTCTCGCTAACAACACTCGGAATCAAAAGGCCAGCACCGATGTTGATTCGAGGATAAGAACTCTCCAACAGCAATTGATTGAGAAGAACGCCGAAGTCGGTGAGAAACAAGCCATGGCTCTACGGTTTAAAGAGGAAGCCGACGAGTTTCGTGAGATCTTTCTCGCCGAGGCTGGAAAGCAAAAGGTCAGCGACGACGAGGTCATCCAGTCTTTCTTGAATATGCGGCAGAGAGCACTTGCTCTTATCAAATTCAAAGGACTTCGTTTCGACCAAGTGCCTGCCCTGGAAAGGAATGCGCCTCATGACCTGAGGGAATTTTACGGTGATGGTACATGGGCGTCCTGGAGTCACACGGACCGCGAGCTCCACGTTCGCCAGAAAGTTTTCGAAATACTCTATCGCCGCATTCTTGATGCTCCATGCTTCGGTATTGAAGGGCTCTCGGACACACAGGACGGAAAAGTAACAAGTGTCTCACGAGGGCTCAGTGGCTTTGAGGCTATGTTGAAGGAAAAGAAATGTGAGTACAAGGCGAAGCAGATTTATCGCGAACCACCTTTCACAACCACAAGAATCAACGGCCACGTCAATTGAAATTAACCTTCTCACAACCGCATTAGTATCACTGGTCTCGATGTCCAACTGGCGACGTGCCACAATCGAGTGTGCCGAGGGACTTGGTATCCAAGAGCAGCTGAGTGACCGTGTCGCCGAAGAGCTGCTGACCTTCCTCGGCCCAATACTCAATAATCAATCCCGTTCGCTGCCAAAAGAACTATTTACCTACTTCGCCCAAGGACTCAATAATCAATCCCGGTCGCTGCCAGAAAGGCTGCAGTCGATGGCATTGAATTTGTGCAGAGATGCATTCAAATTGACAATTATGATGCGCAAGGCTCAAGACGAGTATCGTTGTGATGCAATTCAACACAGGGTGGGACGCCCCACATCGAATTTTGATACCTGGGCTGAACCACATGCCGTCGATGGGGGAAATAATGATGAGGCCGGGGATGATATTGCATACGTGCTTTTTGGGGCACTGACCAAGAAGTCCTTATCTTATGAGGGAATAGAGAGGGTGTTGGTCAAGGCCGAAGTCGTGATGGCGAGGAGATTGTGATAACGCCCAGTGTGTTTCTTGGATTAATGTATGCTAGGATGGCTTGAGGGAATCAGTTCACTACTGGCGAACGCTCAGGACCTTTGACCAGCCCCATGCACCGAATAGTGGTGGGCTGAGACAGCCTAAGTCTGAGTATTGCAAGACGGGCAGGGGACCATGCTGGTTTACCGGCTGGCTACCATCTGAAAGAGTTTGATCAATACTATCTAGATAACTATACCAAAGCCGGATGCAATGAGAGGAATCTTTTCATAAAATAGCTCGATTGCATGTGGAAGTCGGTGTCCTAAGGGCACCGGACGGCAGGTAGACATCCAGGCAAGACAAGTCGGGCAAGCAACCCATAGTAGTCATACCCGCAATACATCTCCCCGTATTCCAAGTTATATAGCAAGCTCGAATCCCTTCATACCTAACATAAACATCAACAACAACGAGGAACCAACACTACTACATAGGGCTAATAGCGAGGACTCCAAGTTCCTGCCACTCGACCAGGTCACTACCCCCTTAGTACCATCATAAGGACAACACCAAGCAAACTAATTAGTCCTACCTGTATGATATGCCAGAAGTCTACTAATCACTACCTGGTGACATTCCAAAGAACAGGTCTCACCCACATCCATAACGCTCAGGGCAACCACAACCAGACTCAACCTAACACTCGAGATACACAGCCCGAGGCAACCAGGGTGCTATCATACAAGACACGCCTCATCCAGGAAAATAACAGTACCCAAGTGACTCCAGCACAGATCATCAACTCCCAAATATCAGTTGTTCCCAGAAACCTTAAGCTGTGCGAGGATACCCGTGCACTGCTTGAGAATAGAGGGTAGACTTTGTCTTCCATTTTCACAGATTCTGAGGGTCCGATTATCGATGCGATGACCCTGCAATTGGAAGCTGAAGGGGGGAAGTTTCCCCAATCATTATTATACGAAGGAGTGGGCGACAGTGGAACATGCCATACAGTTAATACCTAGGTATCTACAAAACACGCTGCTGCCCGAAGCACAAAAAAAGACGAGGCCAAGCGGAAATTCGATTGCCGAATTAGTTACTTGTAACATATAATCAGTTCCATTGCATCTTGACGTTATGGATTTCTGGATTCAATTTGAAAGACCTTGTGTAAGGCATCGATTGGGTAAGACGCGCTATATCCGCTTTCTTCCATTTAGCGTCCTTACGTGCGTCTGAGCATGCGTTATTGGCATCCTTCTCATGTATAGTCCCCGCATACTAACAGAACCTGTATATGCCAAGGTCGTATTCGCAGCTTATCACCTCTTCTAGATTGCCACAATGACGAGTTTTATACAATGGCAGTATGCAGAAGCCGAACAAGAAGAATAAGAAGACGGACGTTTCGATACGCTTCCCTTCCACAAGGACCACAACGTCCATCATGCTTTCTCCGGAAAACTTACTGCTGCCCCTGGGCCTTGCTGCCCTTATTGCTGCTCAAGACCCGACCCTCTCGGCCTGCGAACCGGCAAAGACATTGACCAGCTTCAGCTGGTTCAACTCTTCGCACAATTTAGACTGCCGCAACCGCAATTTTCCCTCCGACGCGGTCTGGTGCTGGAATGTCACAGATGCCGGCACCGTCGTCAACTGCGTAGGCCCCGACGCTCGCTACCTCCACTACGGCACACCGCCAGGCCCAGGCGAGTGCGCAGCCTGTTTTCCATTATGTGGTGGACCGGCCTCTGGTGGCCTCGATCAGACGGCGCCGTTGGGCTTCGGACCGCCTGACCGCCTCACCTCGAACCTGTGCTCCTACCAGAATCCAACGCCGAGTTTCATGCATATCACAGACATTGGCAATGGGGCCTTGTTCTGCGGCGCGGGGTCGTACGCACCGGTGCTGTTCGTTGGGGATTCCAACCAAGATGAAGGAGCTAGCGGAAGGTACCGTGTGGCGCCGGCCGTTCCGTGTGTGGGTGAAAATGGTGCTGCTGTGTATCCCACCTACCAGGCCGAGTTTCCGTTGCATTGTACGAGGGATGCGGAAAATAACGCCACTTGTACCACCGACCTTCCCGTCGAGTTGCCACTAATAGGGACCGGGGCTAGTCCCGGGGCTACATAAGGTCCCTTCAATGTTTGGATGCCGGGTGCATCTATTTGCCCCAAGGAATTGCTTTTGAGATAAATCATGACAAAATTAAATGAAATGTAACACTATCGAAGTGAGTGTGTTGATAATCCGTTGGTCAGTGTGATTAATGAGAAAAATTACATGCAATTGGTCACATTTGCTTCCATCGAACCTGCGGCAATGGCGACTTGGTCGGCCGATTGTGGAATAAAGAAGGGGAGGGGAGAAGCCGCTCGTCATGTCCTACGTAGGTCCAACATCTGATGTCAAGATTAAACATTACAAAGTGGAAATCTGTCCTCAGGGGCAGACAAATAGCCGATATTGCATGATGGTGTCAACTTGTGGAATTTCCATTCTCAGAAACTACTACGAACAATTGAGAGGTGACTAACTTTCAGACCAGTGGAACGAAAGGAATGGCTTGTCAGCGCCGAGTGCCGCTGCTGGTAGTCAAGATCTCGTCAACATGGCACACCTGCCAGCGACTTCTCTTCGTTCCCCAAGGCCAAGTCCCATGCTTAGAAGTTCAGGTTGATGAGCACCGTCTTTGGCTCGGTGTAAGCTCGCAAAGCGTGCTCCCCACACTCTCGACCGATTCCACTTTCCTTGGTGCCGCCGAAGGGAGCAATTTGGCTGAGCGCACTAATGCAGTTGACGCCAACAACGCCCGAGTCAAAGGCGGAGCTCAGCCGCAGGGCGCGGTTGATGTCTTGTGTGAAGACGCCTGCCATGAGGCCGTACTTGCTGTCGTTGGACTTAGCTATAATTTCCTCCTCGGTCTCAAATTTGTTGATTGCGACGACCGGCCCAAAGATCTCGTCCTTGTAGATTGATGCGTCGTCTTTTGTGCTGGTGAAGATGGTCGGCTCGATGTAGTAGCCCTAAGCGACAGTGGCACGTTAGTCGACTTCTTCGCAGACGAAGTCCTGTCCCTATGGTCCTCAAATATTCACGGAAAACCGAGGGAGTCGTTCTGCCTCACCTCAGAGCCTATCCGTCCTCCACCGGAGTGCAGGGTTCCCTGCTTCTCCGCCTTGGCAGCGTTGATGATGCCCATGATGCGATCGAACTGCGCCTTGTCCACTACCGGACCAATTTCCGTGTCGCTCTTCTCTGGGTCGCCAATGCTATTCTTCTTCTCTTCGATGGCTTTAGCATAAGCCTCAAGAAAAGCATCGTAGATGCCAGATTGCACGTAAACACGTGTCGCCGCGATGCAGACCTGTCCAGTGTTCATGAGGAGTGCCCTGACTGTCCTGATAGAAGAGGATGATGTTAGCCACAAGTCTTTTTCCACGTACCATAGACAATTCATGAACATCACACAGGGCGTGCTTATGTCTAAAAAGGGTCTTCGTACCAGTTGATCGCATTTTGCAGGTCAGCATCGTTGAATACGACCGCAGGGCTTTTGCCTCCCAGTTCGAGCGTGACCCTCTTCAGATTGCTCTCTGATGGTGAAGTTAGTCCTGCTACGGGTCCTAAAGTGTTGTATTCTAGAGAATTCGAAAGCATGAAAGACGGGGATCCGTAGAAGGTGAAAAGTGATGCTTACTGGCTGCCAGAGTCTGGACAATTTTTCCGGTGGCAATGCTGCCGGTGAAGCTGACTTTGGCGACTCGCATGTGAGAAGACAACAAGGCTCCGGTTGAGCCATCACCAGTCAAGACCTGAAAGACACCGGGTGGGAATCCGGCCTCTAGAATCAACTTTCCCAGCTCCGCAGCCATAAAGGGAGTCTTCTCGCTTGGCTTCAAGATGAAGACATTGCCAGTCGCCAAGGCCGGCCCAGCCTTCATGCCGACCGAGGCCAGTGGCCCATTCCATGGGCAGATACTGTGATTGATCAAAGGAATCATTAGTTCAAGTCGTACACCCACTGACTGATGAACCTTCACCCGACTTCTTCGGGCGTTTTATTCCAATGATGTGGAAAGCGCAACTTACGCCGCCACGACACCCAAAGGCTCGTTTCGGACAATTTTGTAGAACCCGTCATCGGCTGGAAAATGCTGACCAGCGTGCTTGTCAACCCAACCGGCGTAGTCTGCGACATATTCTGTCAGAGGTGAAGTTTCTTGAGTAGACCACTCCACTCGCGCAAGTCTGTCGCTCACATCGTAACTGCGCAATGCCCGACTCTCCCTCATATCTGCCAATCGCCGTGTATGGTGCACCAAGAGCAACCCGAGTCAGCTCAGCCAGACGCTCCAGGTTCTTCTCAAGGATATCGGCGAACTTCAACAAGATCTCTCTCCGCTGGACAAATGTCATTTTCCGCCAGGGCGAGCCGGCAGCGAACGCCGCGTTGGCGGCGTCTACGGCAGCGTTGACATCATCCTCGCCAGCGACAGGGATTTTGTCACTGACAAGTTCTCCAGTGGCAGGATTGTATACCGACATCCTATTATATTTTGTTCAGTAGGTGCCGTGCGCTGGGAATAGTGGGGACTCACGTCTTGCTGTTCTTACAGTCCACGTACTGTGGTACCGTTAGCCGCCTTTCACGTCATACACAACGCGGCGCGGTATCTTTCCACCTTACCTCATTGTTAATGAACAGCTGCGTGTGGTGTGGCTCGACGATCATGGTTACAGCTTCGTGTGGGCTTCAGGGGAATGTACAGTTCAGAGTTAGGTAACTAAAAAGCAGAACTGGAAAATTGCGGACTATTAGGTCTAGATATATCACTGGTTATGTATAATTTGATGACAGATCATAAATCCATACCTCGGCAACCCCTCTCGCTTCTCTGCTGCCAAGTTCACTCTCAAGGTTGTTTCGCCGTCTTTCTCCTCACTCACGCATGCACAGGTGCCCTGGTGTGGTACTTGGGTACCAACGGTGCGAAGACCAATGCAGTAAATGCATCCTGCACTCTTTATCCTTGATGCTATTCATGGAAATACCTGTGGAGATCTTATTACCCCCGCAGTCAGATTCTTCCCACAAAACATGCCTTATCTTCGTCGCATGCAGAAGTTCTGACGTGAGAACCCACATTCTGCATGCCTGGTGCCAACCCTTGGCACATAAGCCCACATTAACAACTTCGTGGCCAGCCTAGCCCCTCACACTAACGACCAACTGTGACCTCAAATGTGATTACTTTGATTTTGAAACCCCTAGGCTGCACCTGTTGCCCCGACAAAATATCAGCAACAGTCATCTGCACAACTGACAGAAGTGGGCTTGGACGCTGAGTGCCAGCTGGATCCTTGTTCTAAAAGTGAAACTGGACCAGACGTAAAATAAGGATAGTGTGACTACTCTATTGCGTGTAATGAGGGGGGCTATGTGACCCGAGACCAACCATTTCAATATTTCCTAGCCCTTCCGTACGAAATTTGGCTTTATCCCTTGTTGTCGATTTCCACGCGTTCCGTTGCAATGTAAAACCAAAAATGTGTCTCCGAAATCGGCCTTGGGCTCTTTGCGTGGAAACAAAGTGGAGCAAAGGAGCAGAGCCAACACCAATCTCCGCAAGTTTTTTCAGTCCGCAATCTGTAAGTCTCTTAAATCAATGGATGAAGTGTGAGGAGGAGTTGTGAAGCGCCAATTGGTAGCCCTGAGATGCCATGGGGTACGAGGCAGGGTAGGTAGAGGGTCGATTTCGTTCGACATTGAGGACTCCCATCATTGCCCTAACATGTCCACCGCCTGAAGCCTCACAGACTCGTTGGGGATGGAGCAATGTCTCCCATGGCTCCTTGGCCGGTGGCCTCCCAGCATGCAGACGAGACGATTCCGGGGTCACACCACTCCAAGACGTTGAAGTGCCACCGGAGGTCTCTTTTGCCGATCACTTTCCCGCAACCATGCGGCGAGGAGACGGAACAAACAACCCACTTTCTCAGTTCTTTCTAAAGTTTGTCGCACACTCCCGCGATCCATTGATCCTTTGGGAGATTGGGAATTGTGGCTATGAAATGACGTCGCAACCATGGGAACATGTGAATGTTGCTCGTGAAAGTGCAGTTTGGTTCTACGTTTCTCACTTCCAGGACCTAGGTCTGGTTGAGAGTGTCCCATACCGTATGTTAGTAGGTACTAGAGATGGTTACTATAACTATCATTTATATTAGAAATCCCTTATTTATAAGATTAATATTAAGTGGATTTAAAGAGAATAGTAGCCTTATAATATAGGTAATTATTTAGTTATTTAGTATTTTTTTTAACTAAATAGATTTATAAAAGAGAGGGTTGTAGAAAGAAAAAGTAGTTATAGAGAAGCCTTTATATCTTCCCCTATATAAAGAGTAGAGGAGTATTTCTCCCTTCCTTCCTTCCTTCCTTTAACTTTAATACTAACTCCTCTACCTTTCTCCTTTAAATTAATTAATTAATTATATTTAAAGATTTAAAAGTAGAGTTATTAAAAGTAGGGCTATTAAAAGCTAATAAAAGTTAAGAACTTAAAAAAAGATCTAATAGAAAGAAAAAGGAAGGGATTATTTTTTAATTAATTAATATATTTAAGTAGAAGACCTACTTTTAATAAATAAAGAGAGAGATACTTAAAAGGAAGAAACCTCTCTAATAAGTCTATTTCTACTTTTATAACCTTTTTTTCTTTAAAATTATTTTTAACCTTTAAAATAACTTTATAATTTTTAAATAATTATTTAAGCTTAATAATATAGATTATTATAATTATTAAATTAAAATAAATATTATAATAATAGCTTTAAAGGGAGAAAAGTAGTATAGTAATAAAGAGGTAGTTAAAGGTATATAGGTAGTTATAATGACTATCTCTAGTATCTACTAATGTATAGTATGGTCTAGAGTGAGAATATCGGCTATCCCTGCATCAATGGGGCTTGTGATAGCGGAGCTAATAAGAACAAGTACACAAGCTATATAAATAGGGAAATGCATCGTAGATAAGGGGTGCTATTTTGGGAATAATAGAGGTGTGGTGGCAGTGTACTATAATTCAGAAAGTGTTCGATTGAGTTGATCGTGCCTCGGATTTTCGAGGAGAAGGTGTAGCTCGACGTGCCCGGGTGGGGAGGGGCAAGGTGTCTGCTGGGACTGCATTCGCAGCATTTCTGGTTAGGTATGGATTTTATCCAGACTATTTTAGACCATCCTCCCCTTACTATAACGGATTGATGTGCGCCTATTAATGTTAAGGCCAGACGCGTCAACGATCTACAACCTGGGCAGAACATTTGAACCGTTTGTTAATACTAGCCTTGTCCGTGCGGCTGTCAAAACCCCTGGGCTGTGTCCTATTGATGTTTGCATTTGTTACTAGTGCGCCTAACGCTGATTTGCACTACTTGTTTGCTGCTACTAAGCTGCCAAGTGAATACCGAGGTGATGATAACGGGGACAGTGTGGGTTGCGATAGACTGACGGCTAGGTGTTAAGTAGGAGGCCTTCTCTAGCCACTTTAGGGGCAGCTTCTCCCCCCTACGACACACACGGATTATCAATCCACACTCCTTTGCCGGCGGGCTGACGCACGTATTCTTCCTTTCAACAGCTTCCAAGCCCTAAATACAGCTGACCTGCTTTTCCAAATCAGCGACGGTCCCGGACCTCTAGTACTTGAAGTCTCCCGGTTGATGGCGAGAGGTTGACGAGATCGATACTTGACTTCGGCGAAGAAATGTTGGGTCAGTCAGATTGCAACCTTGGAATCAACTAAGCGCTCTCACGACGTCAGCAGAAACCAGATTGTTTGTGGGGACGACTACGAACGGCGCTTGAGGACCTCGGGAATCGTGATCGTCTGAGAAGATTGCTAATGACCAATCTCCTGGAGAAGACGAATTCATGGGGAGACCCAGCGCTCTGCCGGCTGGGTTCGTTTCGCTGCACTTCCTCTTCGGGCGTCCCTTGCTGGACCCAGGTAAGGTCAACACGACTTTGGTCACAGTGGTAGCGTCCCGTGGTCGGGGCTTGGACTACTTATTTCTGTCGCCGCTGCAGCCATGCAGCTGAAAGCAGTGAATATTGTGATGGAACAGCGTTGAGCCCAGCTGCTGTGTACTTGGCTGTTCTCGTCCAAGTGTGTGAACCTTCGAAGCCGATGATATTACCTAGGTACCTAGGTAGGCAGGGTAGCCATACACTACACTCAATACACTATATTACACTAAGTATATATAAATAAGTACACTATATATATTATACTAAAACTATTTTAAATTCCATTACATTCCACTAAAGATTTTAATATATATAATATAGTATATTTAAGTATAAATTTATTAGATTTTTAAAGTTTTAAATAACTATAATTATATTTATAAAAATTAAATATAATACTTACTTTATACTTTATAAAGTATATATTTAAATTATTAATATACTTTATAAAATATATATTTATATACTTACTAATATTATATACTTTAATAGAGTCTATTAATTATTATATAAAGAACTTTAAATAAACTTTAAGATATAGGTATAGTTTTAAAATGTTAATAACTTTAAAGTATTAATAACTTTATATTATTACTTAAATAATTAACTAAAGTTTATATTTAAGAAGATATAAAGTTAATTAAAGTATATATTTCTTTAAATATAAATATAAACTATTTTAAATTAAAATAAAGTTATAACTTATAATTTATTATTTTAAATTTTATTTATAAAATTAATATTATATTATATTATATTATAATCTTTATAAATATTAAAACCTTTTATTTAAAGTTTTATTATTATATTTATATATTTTAAAATAAAAATTAAATATAATTATTATTCTTTATTTATTTATATATTTTAATATATTATTATTATTTAAAATATAATTATTATAGCTTTTAGTAATATATATAAATCTTATTTTATATATATATTATAAATTATTATTAATATATTTATAGAGTTTTAAATAATTTAAGATATTATTTAAATTATTATACTTAAAGTATAATAAACTTATTTTAATAATATACTATTTAATAATATAAATATTAAGTATATTTAAAACCTATTTATTATTTACTTTTAATAGTTAGTTTATTCTATTAAATAGATATATATAAGTTTTCCTAACTTTAAGAAATCTTATTATAATTATAATTTAAATTATTAATTATATTAAAATATTTATATATTAAAACTATATTAATAATTATAATTTATAATTAAGTTATATAATTAATTTAATTATAATTAATCTTTATATAAAGTCTTTATATATTATTATACTAACTATATATATAATTATAAATTTATTAATTATTAATAACTTATTAATTTAATTTTATTTTAATAGATTTTATTATTTAAATAATATACCTTTTAATCCTTTAATTCTTAACTTTATAGTAATCCCCCTTCCCTTTTTTTCTTTCTTTACTTATTCCTTTTTCCCCCTTTTCCTTTTATATTAATATTTACCTAATTATAAAAAATACTTTTAAAAGTTTTAAATATATTAATATTAATAAGATTTATTTAATTTAAATATTTTTAAATTATATTTTATAATTTATAATAAAATTAAAGCTTATAAAACTAAAATCTTATAAAAGAATTCTTTTAATAATATTAAAATAAATAATATAAAAGTTAATAAATTTAAACCTCTTAAATTTATTAAGTAAATTTCTCTACCTAAAAACTATTTTACTAATAACTTCTATTAATATAAG